ACCTCTGGCTGGTCCCAGAGTGGGGTGGGAATGAAGATTTTGCAATATGCTTCCCCCAGGAGTGGGGAGGGAATGAGAAGTTTGCAGTGTCCTTCCCCTACCACACCCATCAAGCCACGCCCCAGAACCGGTAGTAAAAAAAAATTGAATTTCACTACTGAAACAAGGCAAAGAAAATGAGCGTTAAGTGATTGTGTTGTCTGTTATCAGTAGTCCATTCTTTAATTTCTAGCCCAGGACTCTTAAAAAAGGTATTAATCGTCTGGAAAAACACAAGAGGCGGTTTGCTGAAGAGAAACGTCTCAGCAAAATGCATCGAGCTGTCAAGTTCAGCATTGAAGGCAACCGGATGCCCTTGTAGCCTTATATTTCTCTTGTCCCTGATCCAAGAGGTATCCCTGAAAGAGTGAGCTATGCATGTGCTGCAATGCTTGCCATTGTTATCCATTTAGACAAAAGGGCATGTCTTCAGCAACTCCGAGGTTTCATTAAAGCTTTCCGGTCAGGGAAAATAACTAATACATTGGGGGTTTTGTTGTTGCTGTTTGTTTTTGAGGTTTCCAGGGCTTTGTGACTGAAAAACTAAAAAGAGTTGACATTTAAAAACTGCATTTTTTTCCAGCAAGGATACTAACAGCAACTTCATATACCATTATCTTGTGGTGGTGAGCTTTCCACCCAACATATTGCTTTCACTGTGTCCTAACAATTCTTACCAATTTAGCTCCTACTAATTCCAGATGAGTATCAAGAATAATTTTATTGATTAGTCAGTTCACCTCATTGTTGCAAATTGTAATTGTAACCCAAAACTTCTGGAAAAATAAAAATATTATGCTAGAGAAAACCGCTATAGAAGGTTATTTGCCATGTATGAATTTAAATAGTTGAACAGAATTTCTTATTAAAAAAAGTTTTCAATACGGTAAAAATAAATATAAGACATCTCCTTAATCTCAACATTAGACAAAATTACATTGCATGAAGTAGTTTATTATAAACATAATTCCTGAGAAGATTGGTTTGAACTGATTTTGCACATTTTATAGAGTAAAAGAAGCAGCATGTCACCTAAAATAGCTCTTTGGTACTCCACCATCCTAACGCATTCCTTAGGCCTAATTATCCTGTAATTAAGAAATATACCTTCATCAGGATAACACAAAGAACTATGAATTTAGGTTGCCATTTGTCTTAGTTTGGATCTAATTGTTATTATTATTAGAAAATGGTAATTTTGTTTTTCTTCCCCAGGCCATTTCATTACAGTAAGGCCCCATAGTCCTAACTCTTTTCTTGACAATAGGCAAATTAAATAAATAACATCATCTTCAATCCAGTTACCAGCAAAAATCCATTTCATAACTTTTTAACATTTAACATGTTATATATTAATGTATAAATACTCAATATTGCACATCTCATCTCTTAACTATAACAAAATTCCATTTAAAAGTCATGAAATGGTGCCAACATCTTAATACAATGAAAATTTAAAAACTCAAGTTTAATATGACAAAAAGGGACCATTTCTTTCCTTTATAGAAAACAAGCCTCAAATGCACATTACAAATAATATCTTATTTTCAGATACACATTCCATATCACCACTGCATAGGCACACATCTACATTTCATAAATGTACAATAATCCCATTATCCTAATACAAACAGTCCTCAACTAAACCACAGTTAAGTCCAAGATTTCTGTTGCTGAGCAAGACAGTTGTTAAGTGAGTTGCACCCTATTTTGCAAGCTTTTTATCACAGTTCTTAAGCAAATGATTGCAGCTGTTAAATTAATCTGGCATTCCGCATTGACTTTGCTTGTTGAAAGCCAGCTGGAAAGTTAGAGATGATCACATGACCTTAGGACTCTGCAACTCTGATAAATACATGCCAGTTGCCAAGCCCCCAAATTTTGATCACATGACCATGGAGATACTGTAATGGTCATATGAAAACCAGCCCTATGTCATGCTTTTCAGTGCTGTTTTAACTTTTAAATAGTCACTAAACAAATGCCTATAAACTGAGAACTACTAAAAAAAAAAGGCTAAAGGTAACATAAAAAAAAATAATAATTTCTCCTTTTAAAAGAAAAAATATCCAAATTTCTTTACTTCCAGTAAAGAAGTGTAAAACCAATTTAAGTAGTATGAAATTATAATTGCATACAATGGTATGGGAAGAAGGTTCTACATCATACCCATTTTGGGCAAATCCAATAAAATATCAATAATCCAGAAAGAATCACCCAGAAAAATAACAATCTGTTTTATCCCTGATCAAATAAGTCAACTTTATGGGGTTTTTTTCCCTTTTTTCCTTTTATGTAAGACAGTTTTTCTCTGTGATCCATTTAGCTGGTTGTTGATCCTTATTAAGAATTTGCTCAAAAAAAATATCTGTGTCCTTGAAAGGCCCGTTTGCAGCTGGAGCAAAATGGTGAATTCCCTGTCTCTTGACTCCTTCCCCCTGCTCCCACACTAGATTGCTGTCCTGTGATGTCCTCATGAGGAGAAGGAATGGCCATAAAGAGAATCAGCTTGGGTAATCTGACATTGTTCTGTTTGATCCAGAAAAGATTAAAGGGAACCAGTCTGCTTTGGCTCCCATGAACAAAGCTATAGTGTCAGTTCAGCTTGTCTGTGGAGCTGTCTTGAGTCCTGTCTTCGGTCAGCTATCTTCCCCCATAAGTCCTGGAAATTCACATCACAACTCAAGATCTTTTACATTATTTGGTAAAAGGTTTAACAAAGATTTTGTCCTAATAGAGATTTTGAGATATTTTCTACGAATAATGCAGCATTTTGCTTCTTGTTTTATTTTGTTGTACATGTTGCCATGAATATCACTGTGTAAGCTAAATTTGTAAAACATTCCTCGTGAAACTGTTTAATAATATTCTTCTTTGTTTTGTCATGTGGCTACTTCTTGTCTTGCTTTTTTGTTTTATACAATATGTTATGTATACTAGGGACTTTAATAGTTTTGAATCCCATTCACATGCAGAGGTGGCTTAGAGATTCAGACACTCACCTCACAATCAGGAGGTTGAGAGTTCAGTCCTAGGCAACAACAGATGTTTCTCTATCAGGGCGCAAAGAGAAAATATCTGCTGTAAACTCTGCATAGGTGTCAGGAAGGGCATCCGGCCAGTAAACACTCAGCTCCATTCAGCCACTCCGGGATTACAAGGTCACAAAAAGAAAAAAAAAATCCCATTCACATGCAGATTCTGATGTTTCTTATTACTAATTTCCTTAGAAATTTCCAAAGAGCTTTGGTAGTACAGTGGTCTAAAGCACCCTGTTATTAAGACCAGCTGCCTGCAATTACTGCAGGTTCGAATCTCGCCAGGCTCAAGGTTGACTCAGCCTTCCATCCTTTCTAAGGTAGGTAAATTGAGGACCCAGTTGTGGGGGCAATAAGCTGACTTTGTATAAATATACAAAAAGGATGAAGGCTATTACTTAGCACATTGTAAGCCGCCCTAAGTCTCCCGAGAAGGGCAGCATATAAATCAAATTTTAAAAAAAAGAAAGAAAGGGAAACAGGAGAGAAAAATATAGCCGCTTGGGAGAAAGGTTGCTCAACAGATTCCTTCAAAGAGTTTCTAGTCACCTACTGTTGGACAGAATATTGCCAGTTGAAAGAAATGGGGTTCAATGAATTAAAATTCTAGATAGGGGTGGTGATGCATCAAACATTCCCTTTTTCTCATCCTCAGTTATATTTTCCATATTGTAAAGTATTTATCAAGCCAATCTGCAAAATACTGCGGATATAATAATCTTTTAAAGTAGATTTTTATTTGCTTTAATATACAACAGGAGACCCAAAACATAATTATCCAATACAGGAAAAGAACTTCATTTTTAAACATAGCATTAAACCTTGAGAACTTAGTAATTATATCATTAGCCAATTGTTAAGCAGTGCATTTCTGAGAATAGTCAGAACTGTATTTATCACAGAATCTTCTAAATAGTTCTTGCTACCTTTAGTGCTTAGAAACAAGACTGAATGTTAAATTAGAAGAAAATAAACCTGGCCTAAGATATCAGAGTCATTAATAGATTTCTTATAATGTCCTTAATGTTCCTGTGAACTCTCCCTTTTGCACACTCCAGTGATGTATGGAATGCTTGTTTCCTATCCGTCTCTCATGAATGAGGTCTGTCTGAGTAGCTGAGCTAATGCTTGAATTATAAATTCATGGTTTAGATTCTGAACTTCAGCAGCATGTGAAGAATTGTGTCCAGAATTTTTTTTTTCTAAAAAGCAGCGCTTTCTGTTGTATATCTGTAATATACAGTACATCTCTAGACTGCATTTGAAAATAAGCTATTGACGGTCCCTCACAGTATTACCAGGTTCTGTAATGAAAGATAGCAACTGCAACAAGGGATGGTATATGTATGTTCTTGTGATTTATAAACATCAAGATGTCATTGATGACTGTTCTAGTACTAAATGAAAGTTTTGTTTCAAGTTCCAGGCAAGTTCGAAGAAAGGGGTCAGTCGCCTGGACAAACAGATGCGAAAGTTCACAGACATCAGGAAAAAAAGCAGAACATCCCATGCTGTAAAAATCAGCATTGAAGGCAATAAAATGCCATTGTGACCTTCCCCAGAATCACCTTTGATGGTCTCCTGTATAGACTCAGAAGATGTCTACATTTTTTAAAAAACAAACTTTGGGGTTTTTAAGTGCATCTTCAAATTGTTGGTTCAGCTGATTGTTATACATGTAGATTCAGGGTTACGAACCCTGGGACATTTGTTCATTATGGTTTTATTTAACCCTGACCTCTCGTCTCCTTTGTACAGACAAAACCTTGTATTGCTGCAAATCTCATACATTAAAATCTGTTTCTGAAGTGGGGTTTGTGTGATGTTTTGTGAATTGAATGTGTATATAGAAGTTTTACTATTCTGAAGCCTCAAAGAATAGAAGAGCTTGCATTCTTATATTTTTATAATTAAAGGTAAAGTGTATTTGTTTACATATTGTATATAGATTTCTGTTAACTAATTAAATACTATGATAATCTTTTTCTTTTAAAAATACCATTTTTACTTTGGAACTTTAAGAACAAATATATCACATTTTTGAAGAGAAAGAAAGAACATATTAAACATTTAATATGTTTATGTCATGGGGTTTAAGAATCTTCTGAACCATCTCTTCTGTAAATGCATTGTCATTTATTTTAATGCTTATCACAGAATGAATGCATTTAAGCAACAATATTGGAAGTAATGAAATTCCACTTCCTACTATAGAGTCAGATAGATGTTCACACTGGATTTTATCCATCAGATTCTTTTCAACGACTTGGGAAGATTGACAGCTATTAATACTTGAAGGGGTATATTGTCACAGGATGTAAGCTGTTCCAAACAAAGCTGCCTTTTCCAATGGCCTAATGCTGATTATTAAAACAATTCATCTGGAGTCAATACGCTTAGGATCACAATAGGAATACGTGGATTCATTGAAATTCCTGCAATGTTTTGCTGTCTGATGGGTTAAGGTTAAGTCACGGTCTCATCTGTTCAGTTGTAAAAACGCTCAAAAGCTTTTTTTTGCTTACATGCCATGACACATTCTGATCCAATCCTGGCTATATTTGGGAATATGATTTGAAGAATGTGAGATATTCCTTTCTTGATATCTTTCCCCTCACCATTTGCTTAAATCATGTAAAAGATGATGTTCCGTGGACCTGTTTTCCATATTGGAAGAAGAGGTTTTTCTTGTAGTTCAGATACATGCAATAGGTTGGGTTTGGGGCATGGTGGAACAAGTGGCAAAATCTGCCTGACAATGGTGTTATGCAAATGGCATGACTGGTGCGCATCCAATGCCAAAATGCAAGCCCATAATGTCATCAAGCACCTGTCATTCTAGCATTCCTTTGCTGTTTGCACTACTGTTCCAACCTTTCGCTGCAAGATACAGTACTGATACTCTTACAACTATGAGGCATAAATGCATATCCTTAGGCATACTGCTTCAAAAGTAATATTTGAACCATATCTCATTCATTAAATAATTCATTAAATTTAATTAATGGAATGAAATCAAATTGTCTAATCTTTTCTTTCATTTGGCCCTACCCACTTTATGGAATGCATGCCACAGCACATCATTCAAGGATAATTCAGTTCTGTGCCCGAGACCCTCCACATTCAGTATGTCTCCAAATACTATTCATCAGAGAACGAGTGGGGAAGAACTATAATCGCGGGCATCGGGAGGGGCGGCGGGAGAATATCCCTTATGTATTTACATTTTACCTCTATGGGAGAGGTTTCAAGAGATTTGGCATTCCTGTTGTAAATGTTCCTAGTAGGAAACACTGGGTTACATTCTCTTGTTTCAGATAATATGCATTGCACAATTCAGAATCTGAAGCCTACGCCTTGTATAACCTTTAGGAGCTAGCCCATATAAAAGTGGGCTATCTCCTAAGTGTTTATATATAGGCTATATATAGGTGTTTTAAAACTACTGAATATTTACAAAGTTATTTTCCATATTCTGGAAACAAACCTGTCCACCAATCTGTACTGCTGAATGATCATGTTCTGGCACAAAAATTGCCAACAGAATCAGGGGGTGGAGATGGAGACCTCAAATATGGTAGTGTGCTTAACATTGCAATTCTTACTTTCAAAAGCAATCCTACCATATTCCTATATTTTAAAGTTTTGTTGTTTAATTCAGTTTCATTGGCTGCTTATATTCCATTTTCCTCCTTGGACTGTTGCAATCATTGGCTTAGATTGTTATTTAGATGCATGGAATGGATTGACAGAAGCAGCTCCTGCATCCACCATTCTGAAAATAATGAGAAACGACTAACCAGATCAATTAAAAACCTGCAGCTGTATGCTTTTATGGGGTCTTTTTTGGCCAACACAAAAAGCTATTCAAGAGTAACAGTAACTAAACATGACAAGTTGTGCAGCTGCAGGTTTTTCATCTTTGGTTATTTTAGAGTTCAAATGTATTTTGTGAATCCATGACAATGGTTTGTCAGTCTGGTCAGTCGTCAAATTATACATGTTTGTATAAACACAAATTGAATGCTTGGCTCTTCCTTTTCCACCATAGCCTATTGCTCTCTGCAGGATCACACAACCCCATGGCATTTGTGGAGATGGGGGTAGGGGGAAAGATTTCAAGATAGGATCAGAATGATGAAAGCAGGGTTGTAGGATCACCTTGCAAGTCTCACCCTTTTTAACGCATAACTTGATCTTGTTCAAACATATGAAAGAAACAACTTGTGTCATGACACTGATGCTATTTTTGTCAGTATCCTTACAGTCCTTTACAAGGGTTAAAAATCACTTTGGGAGGGAGGACTGAGGCAGTATTTCTACCTATCCAGTTGCTTATGCTTAAATCTAAATTAGATGCTGATACAGATTTATAGAACAATTCGGTTTCTGTACAAAGAAAAGGGCAACTTATTTGCTTATTTCAGTTAAGACCAGCTTTAGGAAACAAACCTGCAATGTGACCTGGCTATTCAAGTTGTTAAATATTACCAAATGCACAAAAAAAAATATTTTATACAGATTGGCCTTCACTGCAGGTTATGCAAAAAAACTTCAAGAATTAGTTTCAATTACTTCCTTTATCCATGACATATAATTGGGTACGAGAGTATAAGCTCCGTATTTTCCCACTTCAGCACAACCTTCCCCCCAACTAACAATCCCCAAGAGATACCAGGTATTGTGATAAGACACAGCAAAAGGCCCACCGCTATCTCCTTTGCAAGCATCCTGCCCTTCCTTATCATAGCCAGCACAAAACATGTTGTCCGTAATGAGCTTCTCAGTGGACTGCCGACAGGTCTCCATGCTCACAATGGGCAATCTAACTTTCATGAGAAAGCGAGTTAACTTTCCCCTAGCATAAGTTGCACCCCATCCGCTAACTATTCCATGGGCTACGTCTTCAATCAGCAAAGTAGCTAGGTTAGGACGAGGAAGGCAAATAGGAAGTACATTCTGGGTAAAAATCACATCACTAGTCAATTGAACCAAAGCAATGTCATTGTTGTAGTTCTGTGAGTTATACTGAGGATGTCTCCAGTAGTGCTGTACTCTCACTTTTTGTTCATCTCGTTCTCGCTGATGTTTGTCAAAGTCTCCTGAAAAGCAAATAAAAGTGTGGGGGGAAAAAATCTAAGTAGGTGCTGACAGTGGAAAACAAGGAAAGTGAAAAACAAAAAAATAAGAATAGCCTTAGATCCAAGTAGAAATAGTGTCATCTGGTTATTGAAATACTGATTCTGTTCATTAAAATGCTTGTAATATATGCAGATTTTTTCCTTAGGCACTTCAAAAACAAGGGAGCTTCTAGCTGAATGACAGCTGACATACCTTATTTACAGAACTCTATGGGAAATTGAAATGACATCATCTTCTATTGGTAACATTACCATTGTTCTTCCACTGGTGTTTCCAATTTTTTACTAGTTTTTTTAAGGAAGAATACAGTATATACTACCATTAGATTACTAGCCCAAAGGATTGTCTTAGAACAAGCTAGGTGATGTCTCTGAAATAATATATGAAAACTTAAAAAGTAGAATGACTGTGGCAAATGAAGGCAAAGTATTACCAATAGTATTACCAATACTACTACTACTACTACTACTATTACTACTACTACTACTAATAATAATAATAGTATTACCAATAGTAATAGAAGCCTTGGGAACAATCCCAAAACATCTGGAGCACCATTTGAACACCATCAGCATTGACAAAATTACCATCAGTCAATTGCAAAAGGCAGCTTTACTTAGAACATGTTATCCTGTGATACCTTTAAGACTGAAGACACTGAGAGTCAGTTGGGTGGCCATATACAGAATAGAATAGAATAGAATAGAATAGAATAGAATAGAATAGAATAGAATAGAATAGAATAGAATAGAATAGAATAGAATAGAATAATAAAAATAAAATAAAATAAAATAAAATAAAATAAAATAAAATAAAATAAAATAAAATTATTTATATATATATAAATTCACCAAGCAACAACATCTGCCTATCCCAGGTCCTTAGAAAGGACTCGCTAAGTAGATTAAAAATCAAATCCTGTCTAAACTTCTGGAGAACTGTGACCAACTATATTAATCCAGTCAAAACATTTGGCTGATTGTGTGACCAACCATAATAATTTATTACGTTTATATGTTGCCCAACTCCCAGAAACTCAGGGCAGTTTATAACTGGTAAACATTTAAAAACAAAGAATAATATTTTAAAAAACCTATCAAAACAGCAGAAAACAAAAGAACAATGATAGTAATGGAAATAAATCCAGAAGGGATCAAAAAGAAAGAAAATTGCATTATAATAGCAATTCTCTCTAAAGGCCTTGGCAAATCGGGTGATCTGTAATCAAGTACACCTGCATAACATACTCAGGCCAGTAAATAATCAGGGTAGAGTATCATTTTATAAAATTAATTAAAGTATATCAATGTTTCTCAATCTCAGCTTTAAGATGTGTTGACTTCCTGGATGGAGAATTCTGGGAGTTAGGTGCTGAGGCTGAGAAACATTAAGGTGTATGTTTGCTTCTATAATTTCAAAGGTTAGAAATACATTTACTTTTTTACAACAGGAATGTGATATCAGAAAAGGAGAATCTACTGCTTCTTCAGGAATACATTGTGGGGAAAAACAAGCATTAGAAGACTGTAATTTTGTTTGTGTCTCTCTACAACTTACCCACTGTAACTTGATGTGGAATAACGGCATCGAAACAGTGTGCTGCGGTAAGTACCCACCGACTACTGATCAAGCTGCCCCCACAAAAACCATAACCTCTACTATTTTGAATCAGTACCTAGGAAAAAAAATAATAATAAATTGTTCTCTAACCCAGCTGCAAATCTGTATGAATTGTCCACACTCTCATTTCAATTATTTAGCATTGAATCAGAAGTTGATCGTCATACACAAAAATACACGGATGTGAAGCAACATTTCTCATATGCCCACAACAATATTGCAAACCTCCTTTTTCCAATATTCATACAAAAGGACAGCATCTACAGTCAGTTGTCCTCCCTTGGGAGGCAAAGGTATCATTTAAGGACAAGTCTGGATGATTTTTAGAGGTCCTGTTGGTATTGTGCTTGTTGAAAGGCAACATTCATAACCTGAGGCTCCAAGTCTACATGCAGTTCTCCCCAACCTTAAAGAGCCCCAGGTCTCTGCAAAAGATGCTGCTAAATATCATGAATATAAGATAATTATGAACTACTGAGAGTTCCAACTTCTGTGTTGTATCCCTTTTTGCTTTTTGGAATTCATCTCCTAGCTTGCCATTCAGAATTAACTTCCATTGAAAAAGATTGCCCCTGCTGCTTCATAAAGGAATCCGACGCTGCAATTCTAACAATAAAAAATGAGGCTATTTTATCAAACCCTTTAAGCGCGGTAGTGTTACCTGCCAAGGACATGCTCCTGGGCGGCAGAAAGATCCCCCAACTATTCTGGGGTCTTCCTTATCTGTGTAGTTAATATTTGGCCATCTGAGTAAATCCTCTTCTGTGAAATTTCCTTTCAGCTTTTCCAAGTCATTTTCAGTTTCTGCTGTGAGATTCAACGATCCTGAGGAAGCCCAACTTAACGTCTGATTCCAGTTGGTCATATTCTCATGAATATTCGTTTCATTTTGTGTGATTCTTCCTCCCTCATAAGAACGTGTGGATTGCTTAATCAGCCCACAAGGAAAGCGATCTAAAGTCAGGGAAATTAAACAGTGGTGGGATTCAAGTAATTTAACAACCGGTTCTCTGCCCTAATGATTTCTTCCAACAACCAGTTTGCCAAACTGCTCAGAAAGTTAACAACCGGTTCTCCCAAAGTGGTGAGAACTGGCTGAATCCCACCACTGAGATTAAACAGTGTGGATAACTGTACTTAATTTAACATTGTGTCCTAATTTATTTTGCTGAAAGAAGAAAAAAAGTTATATGATGATTTATGGGTTTGAGGCAGTGGTGAAATCCTGCCGGTTCTGCCAGCTTGTGCGAACTGGCAGCAGCGGCAGCATGAGGCTCCACCCATCTGCCCGGATGTCATTACTTCCTAGTTTTAACCAAATTTTATTCAACATAATGCCTCATAGTCTGTGCATCTGAAGTAGACAATCTGTTGCTCTTCATGCTGACTGGTTGGAAATTCTGGAACCATAACATCAACCCATTTAGGGAAAACCAGACTGAAAAGGGCTTCTGGAACATTTAGTTTCTAAACCCACATTTTTAAATGATGAATCATTACCTGAGGGGGTACAACTCTTCCCATCTTCATTTAGCGTATATCCTGTTTCACAGGAGCAGATCACATGAACTGAATGTTCGGTATCTTGACAATATTGCCAACACCCTCCATTTTTGTACCAGCATTCAAATTTCTCTGCATTGGAGACAGGGGAGGTGGTTCTTGAGTCATTACTACTTACTCTCTCCAACAGATTGTAATCCTCTAATAATAGGCTATCAGTAATGGGAACCCAATTATCATTTTTAAAATTAGTAGAGGGATCTTCAAGTTATTATTTGCGTGTACCTTTGAGTTAGTCCATGCAGTTTTCTTGGCAATGTTTTTTGGCAGTGATTTGTGATTGCTACCTCCTAGGGATGAGAGAGACAGTGACCGCTCGGTATCACCCAGCTGGCTTTGTACTTAAGACAGGAGTAGTACTCACATCTCCTGGTTTCTAGCCCAGTGCCTTCAGGCACTAGACTAGACTAAACTGGGTCTCCAGATTCCACTGGATCACCAGTTTAGAGCCCATTTAGTATTATGGCTTACTCCCTAAGAGAAAAGTTGGCATCTCACACCATCTCTCCCAGAATCCTTTGATCCCAGCCTTACCCTCTGCCTTAACATAGCGGCTTAGTTGCTACCACCACCTACTTTCTAGGGGGGCCCTCTACTTGATATTTTCTCCAATCCCAGTGTGTGTGAGATAAGACTCCAGCAGGCTACCATCTTACTAGCAAGTATAAGGGGAACACCAACCCATTTAGAGCAAAAGCAATCCACTTATATATATTAAAAAGAAATACATTTCTATAGTACCAACTTCTGACTCTGTGATATGCAACTGGGAATTCAGCCTGTCCTCCTTTGGGGTGGGGTGGGGAGATAGATTAATCAAACAATAAATAAATAGAAATGAACACTATTAAAAAAAATAAAATATAAAATATATTTTTAATTTTTTAAAAAGAATGTTATCATTCTTTTTTAACTTTAAGTAGTTACATGCAATACAGATAGTCCTTGACTTACAACAGTTCATTTAGTGACCGTTTGAACTTATAATGGGACTGAAAAAAGTGCCGTATGACCATTTTTCACACTTATGACCACTGCAGCATCCCATGGTTACGTGATTTACATTTGGATGATTGACAACTGACTCACATTTATGATGGTTGCAGTGTTCTGGGGTCATGTGATCCACCTTTTGCAACATGCTGATAAGCAAAGTCAGTGGGGAAACCAGATTCACTTAACAACCATGTTACTAATTTAACAACTGCGGTGATTCACTTAAGAAATGTGGCAAGAAAAGTTGTAAAATGGGGCAAAGCTCACTTAACAAATTTCTCACTTAGCTACATAAATTTTGGGCTCAATTGTGGTCGTAAGTTGAGGGCTAGCTGTACAGTTAATGATGGAGGAAATAAAGATACTGAGTTGGTTAAATTACAGAGAGTTCTTTAAGAGAACCTTCAACAGAAAAATGTAGAAGATAAAACTTTGAAAACATACAAGACCTATTTTCCTTGATAATAGCTGATGCATCTTATATTTGCAGCAAAAGTTCTTTGACAAATTGGGGACCAGGCTATTATTTTGGTTCTCTGATCCTATCTACATGACTGCTTTTCCTGACATATGCCCTCTGAACTACCCTTTTATTTCCCTCACTACTATGACTTTTGTCCAACAAAGTCTTGCCAGGTTAGAAAGCTATCCCAAAAGGTAGCTGATTCTTACAACAATAGCAGGTCAGCTAATGTTATACCTCACTCACCTATTTCACACTGATTTCCTCCATACCTTGGGGGACATGTACAGGAATATGTATAGTGTTTGACCCTACATATTCCACCATTTTTACATGTATCTTCTTCTTTACAGGGGTTGGAATCTGTTTAGAAAAAGAGATTTGATGATACAAATCAAATCCAGATAAGTATTTAGAGCAATTTCTTATTTATGCATTAAAGTAGTTTCTTACCCACTTCAGTTTCAATAACACACTACACAATCTAAAATATTAAAATTATAAATAACAACAAAAATAGTTATATCAATGAAATATGAAAATACAGCAGATTAATGAGCAAAGGAGAAAAACTGTAACAGTTCATTATATGAACAATACATTAAAATAATTTTATCACGTAAACAAAATTCTTGCCAGAACAAAAGCAAAATCTTCAATAGATTTCAAAATGTATAAAAACTCAAGATTTATGGGGCCAAAGTTAGCATAGGTATTTATAAGCTTTAAGTTTTAATGAACAATTATTTATGCAGAATACACAGAAAATGAATAAAATGTTTACTTTTGTAATCGAACCAAAACTCCATCTGCAAAATAAATAAAAAATAAAAACAGATGTGATTAGGCCAAAGCACCTTTATAAATTAACTTAAACAATTCAATGTAAGTAATTAAGACACATATGATTTAAAATCAACCTGGTTCTATAGAAAAGTCTTGGACACAAAATGGATCTGGCTCTCTGGGTGATTTGCATAGATTATGAGGATTTGCATCAGGAATATAAATCTTTTATTATTGACAAATACAAATATATATGGTACCCACTTCTGAATTATTCTAACCTTCACACATATATTGGGATATTTGGATAGATGTACTTTCCTCTTACACTTGCAAGAAATAATCAGATGTCCCTCCAATTCCATTGCTCACCGTTTTCTCCTTTGACTTGAAAATCTCTTTCGCCTCCTCAAATGAACACTGTTCCTCTCTACATTCTCTCTCCAAATTTCCTGGGAGAATTTCCTCCAAGAAAGTGTTAGCACGTTTCCGAATCCTCAGAACCTGGTTTGCCTTCTCTTTTTTCACAAATACTGTAGATAAAGAGTAAGATATCACTAAGAATTCCAGTTTCTTCAATTCAGGGTAAATATATATTTATCTTCACACTGAACATACTGAATATACAGAATACTGCAGGGCTAAACTGGTGGATATGTTTGGTCATTTCTCCTGGGCTTAAATATGGGGGGTGGGGGAGATCCATAAATGAAATATACCGGTATTTAAAAGCATGTGATTGAGTTTCATCTCCAAAATTCATCTCAAAGCAACACTTACGAAATTAAAATAGATAGCTTTGTTCTTAAAGTAACAATCAGAAACATATGGGCTTAAAAATTAACTACGGTTGTTAATACATGATCCATATTGTGACTGCTGGTAATGAATAATAGGTACCTGATAACGAATGTGAAAAGATGATGAAGCAGCAGATTAAGAAAATCAAGGTTGGCCCCAAGGAAATTCTAGCCATTATATATCCAAAGTGAATAGTAGAATATACTGATTTGGAGACAGTCACCTACACATAGGAAACAAGACTAAACAAAATATTCCTCAAGTACTGAGACAAGAAAGAGATAACTGGACAATAAGAATTATGTACATATGAAAAACAAAGATGTGGACTAGCAGAGAAGGCTACAGATCTAGAAATAAAGTGAATAGAAGTCATATCTCCTGAAACCAGAAATTAAATGTACTGGAATCAGGTATTTTGCTTTTTAAGGAAAGATCAACATGTTGAGGAAGATAGAAGATCTGATGCACTAGCACTGGCTATATATACAATGTGTCCAAGTGAGGAAACAACTGAAGAATAGTAGTGCAAGCAAATAAGGCCTATTTCCTTTTAATCTCCTGTTAGAACTGAAGTGTGTAAGAGGTACCCTACAGGAACAGATTGCATTTCATTTTGTTCTGACAGTTGTTGATTATGCTCATTTCATCAAATAACAATTGGCATCTAATAACAGAAACTTTGTCTCTCAGGAAACCAGGTATATATTAAGAGGAACAAAATAAAGGGGGGGGGGAGAAACAGGCAGTTTTAAAAGAAACAGTCTGCTTTTTTGGAACAGATTAGAAATGTTGTGTTCTCTTACCTGATTAGGAAGGAAAAAGTGCTATTTAGAACCGTTACAAAAGCTAGGAAAGAAAGCTATTGGAAATTATATGTTGATGATTAAACTATTGCAAATATTGACATGGACGTTCTAGTCTCAGGATACTATGGCAAAAAGAAAAAAAAACCACTGCAGCCCAAATATTTTAAAATTAAACAGATTCTAAAAGCCTTTTCCTTACTTGTGGCCTCTTTTTTTTTTTTTTTAATCCTCACATTTTTATGAAACTTGGGAAGGGGAAGGGAAAATCCTTTCCTATCTTTTATTCGTCATTCCATAAATGACCTTTCGAAAGACACTTTCCCACAAAATCTTCTATTCCTCTGCTTTCAAATAGAATGTTTTCTGGATGTCTGCACTTTTATCCCACTGAGTTGTAGTTATTCATGTATTTTGGTAATATTCTGGTTTTAGTATATGCAAATACCTTGAATTAAAAGTCTTCCTCAACAAGTTTTCTAGCTGGAAGATAATTCATATGTGCATGTCTGTATATATACTGTATATCAGAGATTTGGGGGAGGGAAAACACCCCATGTCACAAATATGGAAAGGAGTCAATCTAAAATATTTAAAATAAGATGGACCAAAAAATTTTACTCCTAAAACATCTAAGTTAAATATAATCTTCCCAAATATCCAAATATTGTAAGTTTAGTTGATTACTGACATCAAGAGAACCAAATAAGATGAAAAATCACTTTGACATAGGAGCCAATTAAAAGTGATTTGGCAGGAGATAGATCTGAATCCTAAAAAGGTTCTAGGCAGGACAACGTGTCACACAAGGAGCTACCGTATTATGATAGCAGTGGTGCCCCATACACCATTAAGGTGATTAGATTACAATATGGCCTCTTGCCTTCCTTCTGAGAAACAGATTTTGATATGTAGCCTTATATCATGGAAGGCAATTTATAGTACAGGAAAGGGAACAGGAAAGCATATGGAGAGTACATATGTATACTCCATATGAATATAGAAAATAAATAGAATAACTGTTCTAAAAGAATACCGTAGGAGTTATGTCAAATAGACATGGGTCTCATCCCACAAACTCTCTATAGCTCTGTGACTGTTAACAAGGATAACATACACCAGAAAGAGAACTCTCACTAGCTTGCATTCAATTTGAGCTTGTTTTCTCCCATCCAGACCTTCACAGGCTCCAGGCATTAAGACATAGTAATAGCAGCACCTCCACACAACTGATTTATGGTTTGATATCATCAGCATACTAATGATATCCTACTCTAAACAGTTCAAAGACCTTCCCCAGTAGCTTCACATCAGTGATGGGTTGCCCCTGGTTCGCACCGGTTCTATAGAACCCGTAGTAAAACCGGCAGGAGGCTCCGCCCACCAACCCCGAGGTCATGAAAATGCTTCTGCGCATGCCCCGCTGCAAACCGGTAGTAAAGGTAAGTAGAACCCACCCTTGCTTCACATACTGTAAATGTTAACAATCAAGGGGGTGGGGACTGATTCCAGTGGTACCTCATAAGTGAGCAGTCACTGGGCCAACCTTTTCTACAATAGATTGAAACTATTCATAGAGAACGGAGCAGAAGTAATGCAAAACTCTTCCCCAATCCCTAACCACCACAGGAGGCCCAGTAAGAAAATATGATTGATGGTGTTAAAGTCTGTAATAAGGGAGGAGAAGTATGTCTCTTTCATCTCCTTTACACCACACCATAGACGCAAACATGGACATAGACTCATTTATGGCTGAGTTAGTTTTTTATCTTTCTTCACTGGCACTCCAGACATCATCTTCCAGAGGAACTCAGTAAACTAAGGCACCAATTGCAAATGGCTTTCAGTAAGAAGCTACTCATGGACAATAGAATACAGTTCCAGTTTGCATCCTGATACCCAGTTTTGAGCTGAACTGTCTGTCAAACTGTTGGGAAATTCTCCGATTGTCCTCTTGAAACCAAGATTGTTGTAAAACCAGGATTGTCATAGAAAACCTTTGCTGCATTTGATCAAAGTAAATTTGCCAACATTTTTTTGCAAGAATCTGTGATACATCCCAGATGTATCACATATTCTTGGTATATAAAATAGTGAGACCATTGAAGAAAAGTAACACAAAGCACAGAATCACTTGTATGTTCTGTTTTTATTGATCATTAGTGTAATAAGTTTATGATTTCATTTTCTGGATGATCCAATCAAGATATGAACTGATCTTAGTGTAGATTCCAAAATTATTAGGATCCCCACAGCCTTCTCCCCAACTCACTAGTCCAAGTAGGAACCAGGTGTTCTTGAATTTTACAACCATAGGACCACCACTGTCTCCATGGCAAGAATCCCGTATATCTCCTGGTATCCCTGCACAGAACATGTTATCTGTTAGAGAATTCCACATAGAATGGACACATTCATTCCGTGATGCTACAGGGATTTCAATAAAATTGAGAACAGAGGAGAAATTCTTCTTATGATTCGCACTCTGGCTTCCCCAGCCTGTTACTATTGTTTTAATCCCTTCGGTCATCAACTGTTGATTTGCCAGGTTTCGGGTAGGCAGGCAAATGGGTATAATATACTTATTGACAACAACTGGGTGGGATAGATGTAGTATTGCAATGTCATTATCATAGGTGACTGAAGAGTAATTTTCATGAGAGAATATCTTGTCAGCAATGATAGTTATCTCACTTTCATCTATACGCCGTCGGTGGTATTTACCTGTAAGAGTGACATAAAAATTTGGAAATACTACTTCCTTGAAACTAAGTCAAGTCTATCTTCTACAAACAGTTAAAAAATACATTTAATAAAGGCTGTACTTTCTCCCTGAATGTTAGAATAAGCAAATTCCAAATTATAGTCGGAATAAATAGAGATTCAATGATAATATAGATTTGCATGCAATAGGAAAATTGCTTACTATATTGTTCTTGTTAACCCAAGAATCAGATCCAAAGGAAAAAGGAAAGGAAGGAGAAAATATGCATTTAATGGAATTGGATGGAGAACATTAAAACAGAAGTGGGCAGACAGAATTCCATTCATTCTGTATAGCTCATTGGTTGGAGAGGATAGGAAATGCAAGAAAACATTTTACACACTTTTCACTTTTTCAAACCAAAACATTAGCTACAGGCTTCTAGTCAAGATATAAAGTATGTAAATACCAAATATTTTTTAAAAATTAAGAAAATCCTGCGTAGAACAGATAATAGATTTCCCTAATCTAACTCAGCATTTTCTTCCTCTTGTGACCAAACAATGCCCTGGGTATTCCCCAGTCTCCTATTGTGTTCCTTAACAGCTAGCAGTGAGTGACAGACTGACTCCATAATAGCTGATTATAATATATCAGCAACTTTGTTAAACTCCTCTCTTTCAAGCTATCAAAATTAATATGGACATTTGTGGTAGGAATTTCATAGTTTAAATAGAGGGTGTGTCAACAAGTCCTCTTTTATCAGTCTTTTATCTTTCACCACTTCATTAAATAATCTCTGTGAGAAAAGAAGAAAAATATCCCAGACTTGGTGCCTCAAGCATTAAACCTCTACCTTAAAACAGGATGATGACTAATAGAACAAATTTTGTGTTCTGGGAAATCTTGACTTCCTACCTTCTTACCTCTGCATATGCCTACTAGTAAGACACTTTTGTTTTTCTTAAATTTGAATGAGTCTGCAATCATAGCTCTGATGTCAACTGTAAATCCTTGTGCCTGTTCATGGCCTTGGATTGTTATTGTCGATTACCTTGCCTCACAGGCAAGATTCTAAAAGTTACATTTTAATATCTTGTTACTAAGAGTTATTTCTGGAAAGATCAGTTCAGACATAGAGTCTTTTTAGGCGAACACTATTTTAGTTTGGCTCTCAATATAACTCATGCTAATTTGTGTCTAATGATGGCTGTATCTATCCAGAGTTAAGAATTGAGCAATCTCTGCAAAAACATGCATTATATACCAATGTTTCTCAATCTCTACAAATTTAAGATGGAATTGACATCCACACATTTTAAGTTGCTGAGATTGAGAAGCACCACATTATACAGGGTAAAAGACTTATTGATACATGTCATATTAAAAAAGAATACAGGCATTAGGATTTTCCTTACCTAAGGTCAGTTTGATTCTTGGTTCTCGAAACACACAATGTGCAGCTGTCAATACCCAAGCAGGATGAATGAGAACGCCACCACACTTAAATTCTCCTGCACTATTGCCCAGCATAACCTGCAAGGGAAAGGAGG